TTGAGCAAACTTGGGCAAATTATTTAACCTCTGGGTTGTAACTTCCTAACATGTAAAAGGAATAATAATGTCCACCCAGTCTAGTCAACCTCAAGAATAATTTCTCCCCACCTAACCTCCAATATTCAGGAAATGGGAAGAAAAGCTGGTATAAACTCAGGGGTCACCCGTGTTTTTGCCTTGAGCCAGATGCTGCACAGAAGAACAGGTGTCACCTGACTGTCTGCTCCTAAGGCAACCTCCAGTAATGTGGGGAAATCTGGCCAGTGCATTGGAATGTTCTAATACCCTCTTCTCTCTTCAAAACCACCTCTATCACTTGCATTATCTATGAACACTGTCTGGAAACTGACCAAATGCACACTTAACATTTTACAGGACTTAATATCTTCACAGAAATCTGTCAGTATTCTCTAATTATCCACCATAATCCCTGGGAGTTAGCCACTCAAGATCACACTGGGGGTTTATGTCTGGGCCACACTTTGCAATGGCCTCAACTCCTGTATCTAGTTAACTGCCTGAGTCATTTAAAAATTCCAGCCACAAACCTTACCAAAGTGGATTCACTCAGTTCCGTAAATGATTGACAAAAATAGTGCCAAACATTACCTTGTCTAACACATGTCTCAGCCCCTTCCCTAAAGGGAGTTCAGAAAAACAGGGCCTCCTTATCACCAGGCTTCTAATAATTATGAGAGTTAAGAACCATTGCCTAGACTTGACAAGAGTATGTGGTGACAATATGGCATTTCTAGAGGAATTATATTCAGATCTAAAGAAGAGTGGATCATGTTTATTAAAAATAATGTATTTCTAGAATGCATAGACTTGAGGGAGAAAAATTCCATATTTTTTGGTGATTATTTAATGCTCTTATTCTCTTTCAAGAATAACTTAACAATTTGTTCTATAGTTAGTCTGTTTCTTCCTTATAGACCTCCAGTGGTAGGGGAAGCTTCTCTAAAGCCACAGGATCTTAGGCCTGAGGTGATGCCAGATATCTGGTTTGCCTATGAACCTTATTCTTGCTTGTTTATTATTGAACCAGGAAGGACCCTGTTGTATTTACTTATCTGCATAGGATAAAAACATACTTTGGTCAAAAGGACTATAGGCTGTGGCTTCAGAGGAGGGTATCTTCTACATTGCCCTGTTACTATTCTGTACTCAGTCAGGTATTAGTGGTTGTTAGTCTGTGGAAGGTAGGAAACAGCCTTGCATCAGTAAATGATTGACCTGGCTGCTCCAGGGTTATAAGCTTAGGTAAACAGGCTTGATTCTGCTCCAGCAATTTCAAGACTTTTAACTCCCTAGGTCCCAAAACAGAAAAATGTTCATGGCTTCCTGGGTGATCTTATCGCTTGAGGTTGACAGCCCTCTGCATGGACCGTGTGTTTCTCAGAATTATATGTAAACTGTCTTCTCTAGTGTATCTTGAAAGTAGAGAGAATTCTAACAAGCAAAATTCTGGAAAAAAGCCATGTTTACAGAGCCATGACTGATGGAAGAATTTCAATGATCACAAACAGGATTTTTTTAAGGTGAAAGATAAAACCTTTCCAAACCTGAAATATGTAGAGGAATAACGATTTTCAAAGGAAGAGAAGACGGACAAAAAACACAGTCCACTTTCCAAAACACATTGGTGGACAAATGATTGAATTCCCTTGACACACACCCACATCCTCCACATTGCCATCAGCAGAAATACTCTGGATACAAGGCTGGACAAAGTGCATGTTTTGCGCCTTGCGAGCAGGGACTGTGACCCGACAGATCACCTACCTTGATGGCTGCTTCTCAATCTGGATTCTCTCGTCGGCTTCCTTCCTGGCCCAACAGTGGTGGCCCACAGCTACTCCAATCCTTGGGGCGTTGGGAGGAAACATCAACACAGGCTTTTACTTTTCCCTAAGAGGAAAAATGAGGTGCTTCCCTCTGTTTCCTTTGCAGCTTTCTCTAGCCCTGCAGACGGGTGGCCACGGGCAGCAGCCTATCTGCGGCCAGGTATGTTGACACACGTGAAGGAGGGAGTCTGTGCCACTCTCGCCTGCCTGGCCTGGCCAATCATTATGCACCAGGCCAGGCTTTTAGTCCTGCTCAAACCTGACCAGAGATCTGGGTGACAAAAATCAGATAGTCATACTGAGGAGGGCAAAAAGCAGGATCTGTTAGTTATTGACCACCCAGAAAAACAATTACCTTGCAACTAGGTCTGTGAAGGAGACAAGTATATGGAAGGACAATACCTTTTCTTTCACTCCTTTTTATTTCAGCAATCTCAGAAGGGAATTTGGAGGTCACTTTATACAAACTCCTATTTAAATAATGGACTTTCTTCTATTGAATTCCTGTTTGGTGAGAATCATCTGGAAGTTCCTTGAACAAATATGAGTCATTTATTGAGAGTGCACTGTATGTTAGGCATTTTATATGTATTACGACAAATACTTCATGGAGGCCCAGAAATGAGACTCCTTGGGCCTAGACTGAGCCAACACTCATGGAGGGTCAGGGCATTAAAGTCTTTAGGTTGCAAAGCAGAGAAGTTCTCAGATTAAACAAAGAATAGCTTTCAGTGGCCTCCTTTTGCAATAAGAGCTCTGTTTCTTAGGGCTTTTCTTCACGGGGTAAATCCTATGCTTTAGACACCAAGGCCCTTTGATTGAGGCCATCTGCTTGCCTGAGGCTTCTCTCAATTGCATGATGCTACTGGACAGAGGCTTTTGCTTCCGTGTCTCCTTCCCCACCCATGCTACCCAAAACACTAGCCAGCTGTGCAAACACCCTGGTCTCACTAGCACTTTTGTTTCGCTGGCACATGTCCAGGCTATCCTGGGTGATGCTTGAGGCACATGGGCTTTGGCCACTGTCTCTCCTTTGCAAACCTTCCACCCTCTCTGAGATCGGAAGGTTTCAAGTCTTAAAAATAATAGCACTCCTTTAGTCAGAGTGAGCAGACCCGCTGAGTGGCAAACAAAGACACATACTGCTGATAAAGAAGAATTCCTCTGAAAAAACAACAAAACTCCAGGACAGTCAGACACCTTAACCTCAGGGATTCTGGAAAGGGACCACTTTCCAAGTCGAAGAAATGGGGTTTGTTCTCTGTTGCAGGGTGCAGCCATCTGTGGGACTGACTCCACACCTCTCTGCCCCTGGTGTAAGCACTGCACAGGATGCCAGGAGAGAGGGTGATATGGGCATGGACTTCTACACAAACACAGAGGAAGTTCACTCCACTCCCATAGCTTCTTCACGTAAATTTATTTACATTTTGAGGGGAAATTTTATGTCACTCCTGAACACACCAGGATCACTTGGTACGAAGAGAAGGTAAACACAAAATAAATAGGAAATGATATTAAATATTGGTTAGATACTATTGACATGTTTGTTCTTGTTAGATAAACAACCACCAGTCAGAGAGTTTTCATGGCTGTTTCATCCCTAAGTGGAGACTTTCCTCTCAACTAATCAGAATGATTACATGATTAATGATTCGATGCTATCCAGGAACGTGGCTATGTCCCACCTCTCATCATCATGCATACCACCAAGGGCAGGAATCCCACTCTCTGAGCAATGCTTGTTTCTTCCCGGAACTGTGCACCTTTCTCTATCACTGTTTGAATCTATCTGCCTTATCTCTCATTAATCAGTTTCTGCTAAATCATTTACCAATAAACACAGTGATTAGCAGTCAGCCATGTTAAAGGAATTGTACTGGGTGCTATTTGGAATGGTTGGGCGCAAAGTCTCCACCCCTAGGACTAAGACTGTCAGGTACTCTTGAGTATTTCCTATGTGCCAGACTCTGTGCTAAAATGCTTACCATGTATTTTCTTATTTGATCCTCTCAGTAACCCTTCCTAACAGGCATTATTACTCCTATATCCTATATATTGAGAGATGTCAGTTTGCCTAAGATCACACAGCCAGGGCATGATTCAGTTGGACTAGGAACCCAAGTCTGTGCATCTCTGTTCAGCTTCTGTGCTAAACAAATATCCGTAACCTAGTTGTAGTGTGAGAAAATGATTTGTGACTATTAGAGTTCATACATAACGTAACAAACAGTTCCATTGTCTTAGAGGCAATATCTCAACCCAAATGTTCAGAAATTGAAGCAGGCCAGTAGAATCTTTGCAATTATACATGCAGGTTTTCCTTGCTTTGCTGATGTTCCGACACAGACTCTCTGCAGCATGTCATACTTATTAAAACCAAAGGGGAAATGACCAAAAGTGGAGCTTATCAAAGCCAATCAAAGGACAACACACTAGACTTACTAAACAGTAACTAAAAATACAGGCAGGAAATTCTGACCTAGGCTATGTTCTTCAATTGCTCTGGTAACGTAAACAGAAATGTAATTATCCTAATTACCTGTTCTAACATTCAACTATACGAAATGTGTTTTTCCTTAGAATTAATGTGATCCCTACTACATTCATACACAGGACTTTTACCTCAACCCATTTATTTTGTAGGGGAAAAAAGAGAAATTCACTGAAATTAAGTATTCTATTAAAAAGAATTAGGAATGAAGGAGATATTTGGAATCTTCACCACCAACAGAAACTGTAGGCCCACTCGTATGTATTCTTTGTGTGTACAAATACATAATCTCTGCATTGTTCTATTTCCAGGTATCTGGCAGTCCCTCAGAGTAATGTGGCTGAAGATGGTGGTCAGGGGAAAATACAGATGTCAGTAGGACCTGGCCTAAGCTTAGGAGTAGTAGCTAAAGTTCTGAGGCTGTAGCCTAGAAAAGCATGGGCAACAAAGCTATGTGACATTTCATGCCCCGCTCATTTTGGGGATTACAGGCGCATTCAGCTAAAGCCAGTAGGTGCTAGACAGGGCTGGAGGGTTCTTTATCCAATTTCATATAATAAGGTTCTTCACTGATGCTGAGTCTATGACCTTTTAAAACAAAACTAGAAGTGGGCCAATAATAAAACATGCATACAAAGAAAGGAAAAGTACCTGCTAAAGTTTCATATTTATTATTCTTTGTAAGTTAGTTTAGGTAGTTCAAATCAAATACAAGAGAAGACATCATGTCGTCATATCTATTAAACTGTTTTCATGGTTAAAATGAGGTAATCTGGCCTTACAATGTTTACATTGAATTAAGCAGTTTAATCCAGGTTACAAGAAGGAAGGTGAGAGAGATATCTGAACAATTATTTCTGAAGGGGGAAGAAGCCAAGTGAATGTATATGAATAAGATAATTAAGCCACAAAATACATTTCAGAGTACTACGCAGTATATATGAAAAATTTTAATTCTAACCTTAAAATTGGTATAATTTATTATTATTAGTTTACTCAATTTAGCAAAAAGCATGCACTGTAATATTAAACAAGCATAGAGGACAAAGCATAATATCTAATAGAGCATCTATCAGATTCACTGACTAACTGAATTGATCAAGTGTTATTTTCACTATGACAATTTCTGTATTTTCTAATTGCTGATCAGTGAATTTAAGTATTACAGTTGGCAGATACACAATTCAAATAATGCATACACAACCTGCATGTAATTAATGCTTATTAGTATTGAGTGTAAATTAGTAAGTGCAACACCAGCAAGGTACCACTGCCTCTGGAGTCATCATACTGATACCGTAGATTCATGAACCTTATTGGCTTTATGAACAAATGACAAATGTAAAATTGCAAATCTACAAAGCTGTCACAGGACTATTTGACTTTTCAAAGTGCTGTGCTTCTTACTGAGCTCAAAGCTTGTTAGCAAGACCCTGCTCTTTGAATGTATACTGGCAGTAAGTTCCGGGCTCCTGCCAGGTACAGTTCTAGTGTTTGGGTAGGAGGGGGAGGGGTGCCATAATGCATTGACGAGTAAGAAGCAATAACCACCATGGTTAAGAGTGTGTTTGGACATTACTGAATATATTGCCTTTCATTGCAAGTTTTGCTATCTCTTATGCTTATTAGTAATCAGCAGATGAGAGAGGATGGCCAGGAGACAAAGAGAGAAAATGGTGTTCTATGAAGGAGATGAAAAGGAATGAGATGGAAAATGCCTCTAGACTATTGAGTAGGTTGCCTCAATATGCTGTGGGATTGAATTCTAACAAGGAGAAGAAAAGTATTTTATCCAAACTATGTGGCTTAGAACTACATTTGAAATGTCCTAAGAACAAGTTTTGTTGGAGAAAAGACTAGAATACTATACCTACTGCAGGATAGAGTTATCTTAGAATATTTTTATAGTGTCTAAGACTGTGCTATTTCATCAGCATCAACAGCATTTTGTACTGTATTCTTCCGGGTTAGGGCTGATTCTGGGATAAAATGCCATTAGTGTTGTTATTTCTGGTAGGAAGCCAGGGGAGCAGGAGGATGAGGTTATAGTGGTTCTCTTGGGACAGTAAAGAGCTGTTCAGTATCATTTGGAATTAAGGGTAAACTTTTCAGCTAAATGACTTATCACCCAACCAGTTCACTCCTGTGTGTCCCAAGGGAACATTTGTGAGTGACAATGCTACATGGCAAATGCTAGTAAGCAGTCTGAAGCAGAGGGCCACGATGTACTGGAAAGTTCATGGAATATAAGGTGAAAGCCATGTTTTATGCCATACAAAATAAACATCCTTTCAGTGGACACTGATGTTATCAACTTCTATCTATCTGTTTCCTTTTGGCATAAAATGACTATTTAGCATGTATTTGGGAAGGCCCACCTCTCAGGAGCTCTTGCCCATGTCGGCAGATGTGGATTACTAAAGGCACCACTGTTGGACAAGTTCTGTCCACACTATTGAGAAATGAGCCCAAGTAGCATTTCTCTACACATCCACTCAAGGAAGAACCACCATAACTGTACACCCTCTGAGTACAAGGCATTTAACCTAATCATCAGGGACCTGCTGTTTTGGCGAGTTCGCTGACCAAGGTTTGCAAATCAGAATGAAAATAGCAAAGAGTATCTTTATTCCAGGTGAAAGAACCAAAGCAAATACAGCACAGGGTGACTTACTTGCTCAGCCACATTGTTGAGACCCACTCACAAGCCAGGTCTGTTTCCCAGAGGCTAGCAATAAAAATCTGTAGTCAGCCAATCAAGAACATTACAAACACTTAAATTGTGGCGTGAACAAATTCTGTAAGACGGTCTGCCTTTGTGTAGTTATTTTGTTTTCAGGAAAAAAGGCAGTTTCATTTCAGTTTGAATTTCTTCCGTTTGTCCACTTTGAGCACTGAGCCTTCTAGCTGGGTTATAATAATGTGTCTTTGGGGAGCACTTTCTGGTGGTAAGATTCAGAAAAACAGAAATAGAAAATGACGACACACTGAAAAACTGTATTTAATTCTGAAATGCTGCACTACATTGCCTTCTTGAATAGAAACAAATTTTGTGGTGTGAAGATGAGGTCATGAAAGAAGAAAAAAGATTACAATAGATCATAACCTGTGCTCAGATTTTGTGCTTTTCTTCAAGTTTATGTCGGACATTGGGTTTGGACTATGTTTAACTGTCCTCAAGAATTTAGGGGTCCAGACTCAGCACTAAGGAAAATAACTAAATGTAATTACTAGAGAGACTCATATGGCAAATAAGTAATATTTTGGGGGCATGACCCTCTTAACTCTGCCATTAATTTAGAATTTAATCATAAATAATTTGTCATTCCTTTCTATCAATTCCATCTTGACCTTTCTTTCCAATTCTAAGAATAGTTTCTATACCCATGAACCCACAGTTGTACCTCTAATAGGCTCCAAGTTCAAGCCTTTAAATACTGCTCTTACCTGTAATCCGTAATGGTCCCCTTTGCCACAAGGCCATGGAAATGTGGCCATGTGGTAAATGGTTCCAGGGAGCTTATGAAAAACAGCCTACATTTCAGAATGACTGTGGCCCGAATCCTATGAAACTAAAGCTCTCTTTGGCTCAATCAGGTAGCATTTTAGTCAATCTTGAAGTTAGTTCTGAACAAGTGTGATTGCCTTGTTTGATCTCTAAGGTCCCCAGACATTGTGCAAATAACAGATGTAGCTGGATTGCCATTTTTATTGTTGGCAGTTGCAGAATGAGTCGTAGACATAAAAGCTTGTCCCATCACTGAGTCTTATGCTTGACCTTAGATCAAAGAACAGAATGCACACATGTACAGTATGGTGAAGAACTCTTTCTTGGTACAGAGAGTCTGCCAATTCAAGGGTGAATAGTAAATAATCAATCCTCTGCTTACCACTGAGAACACCGTTCAGAATTTCAAACTGCAAGCTGGGCTGGGAACCTGGAGCACATGAAGGAGTGAGTGCCTGCACTCGCCATGCAGAGCAGGACTCCATGCACATGACCTTAGTACCATTTTCTGTGCTTTGTGTCATGCTTGGTGACTTTCCTCTTATCATGCAGACATGGAGGCACACTTAAAATGTTCCAACTCAAGTGGAGTGCAACTATATATTTTGAAAAACTAAAGGAGAAAATCAAGTAAACATTTCACAGAACAGTCAGCAGCCCTTGGGTGTTGCTGGCATCCTGTGTGATACCTGCCCACACCTGGCCTCATAGCACCAAGCACCTGGACAAAGCTGAGGCCGAAATAAAACAGAGCAGAATAATTCTCCTCTTGCCTCCTTATCTCTTTGCCAAGTAACAAAGGGTTAAAAGACGGGAAATGACCTAGTCTCTAGCAATTGACCAAGAGTTTAAAACAAGACCAAAATGAAACAAAAACAGCACAGCTAAAACCCTGAGGGTAGGCAGGCCAGGGATTTCGGAGCTTGCCACTGGAATACCAGAATTGAAGGAAAATTGAGAAAGTTTGGACCCTTACTTTCTTACTCCTTTCCAGAGAAGGCCCTGAAGAATTTGAAAATAAAATCCCCAAAATCCTTTTTGGAGAATGGTTCAAATGCAAGAAAAGGAAAAGTTAAACTGCATTTTCCCAGAGGCATTTGGGTTGTGACCTCCTCAAACTGTGGAAGATAAAGTTCAGGGCTTAAATGACTTTACAGAGAGTAAAGGCTGGAAGACCAAGAGCCAGGAGTGTGTGCTTTTAGCAACTCACCTAGAATTGCTTTCCCCCAACCCTACTGCAGGCAAAATGTAAAATCCAACTATGACTATTGCAGAGTAGAAATGAGAAGCGGCTTGGGGGGGGGGGTCCAGTGATCTTATACATGCACACACCCATCCAAGAGTCCATGTTTATCTTTGTTTCTTAAGAATACAGAAGCTGACATTTCCTTAGGGACTCTCAGGCAGCTCTAGGGAGCATCAGAGTGCATGCACCCCCATGTCCAGTTTTCTTTCTGGCTCCTTCCTTTTCAACTGTCTTCTGGAGGGTCTTCCTCAAGAACTGAGAGCTCTTCACGACCCATTTGATCTTCTGTTCCAGTACATGGCTTGGTGGCAGCTTCTCAGATCTTAGTGGACACATGAACGCTGCCTCCGGCATGACTGCAGGAGCCAGAACAGCTACAGTAGAGTCAGAGGTCACTCAGTCCTGAGATGCATGGTCCTGACTGAGGGGGGAAGACCACGGCAGCATCAGGCCTGGGTGAGAAAAGTTCAGGAAGCTCCTTTGTAAGTGCTCTTGAGGTAAGAAGCACTAAAGATAATTAACCCATAAATAAATATGTGAATAAATATATAAATAAGTAAAACACAAGAGGGCTCTTTATAGGTAAGCACCTCTTATCAATAAAAAAAAAATTCCCTCTTGAGTTTCAAAGCCCTCATACAGTGGTGATTGGTAGGCTCAGAACACCTGCAGAAAACAGAACAATCAAGACATGAACTAGAAATGCTCCAACACTGGGTATTTCTCACTTGATGACACACAAGTCATCCTAACTGTCCCCGAGGTAGTCTTGTTTTCAAGCAGTTACAGAGCAGCTCCAGACCCACTTGGAGCTTCCTCCTCCAATCCATTGCACGTTCCCATGCATCCTGTGTCTGCCTCCATGGTGTCACAAACAAGGTGCTTTCCATCAGTGTTGTGTCCCGCAGCATAGACCCAAGTTCTAGGCAGACAACAACAAAATGCAATTCCAAGATCTGGCTAGAAGATCCCACTCCAAAGAGGACTTTGCCAAAATGGTGCAGGCACTTAACCTGCAAACATTTTGGGGAAAGCTATAAAGTTAAATCCAAGAAATCTGGCATGCAGCAAACATGCATGTCTATCTTTTGTTGGGCCCCACAGTGAAAAGATCCCCCATCATTGTTCCTTTCACTTTTAAGAAGGGGCCAAAAGAAACAGAAAGGAATCAATGCTTAAGAACTGGGCAATGCATTTCTGATACCAAAGGCAGTATGCACTGTTTATCTAAAGACTAAAGGTGACTGGTGACCAAGTACAAGCTATGCAAGAACAGCCTATGGCTGAAAAACCTTGGTGATAAATAAGTCTTACTCTCTCAGGGAAGAAGTGGTGACATTCAGCATGCCATACTTGGCCCTTTCTCCCCTCAAAGCCCTGGGTTGATATTAGAGGCACCACGCAGAGCAGTCCACACCTGCATAAGCCATTGTTTTGACCAGGAAGATTCTGGTTCTTATCACTGGCTCAAACACAACCTCTTGGGAGACTACAAGGAACTGAGCAGGCTGGGGGACACCCAATACCCCAGTGGAGACCCCATTTCCTTTAACATCATAAGCCACTGGGGAGATCCTGACCTTATCACATGAAACATGTTTTTTTCCCTTGGACTTGAGTTTTAAAAATGTCTCATTTGGGAAAACAATGCAGTGAAAAGCTCTGTAATTTTATCCAAATGGCTTTGTGAGGTGGGATGAAAGGGCTCTCCTCCATTTCCTTCACCGGCACTGCCCAGGGGCCATCCTAACAGGAAACCCTTCAGAACTCTAGCCCGCATCACCAAATTCAACGTTAAGTTAAATAAAAAATTGATTCAGCATTTAGCCAAAGCTCTATCCTCTTGTAGGAGGTCATTCAATTCAATGACAGTCGTGGCAAAGTCCACCAGGTCCACGAAGTCGGACGTGATGATGTTGACACCTGTGGTTCCAGGCTTCTGCGTTTTCACCCAGTCCAGGATGGCAGGAAGATTCCTACAAGAGGAGGGTGTTGGGGGAACAGAGAGAACAGGGAGTAGAGTTTAGGACTGACTCCTCTAGAATCAGAAACAAAACATTCTCATTAATGTAACAAAAGCACAAGCTCCCAGAATTTTGTCCATTTAAACTTTGTATCTCTTCCAGGGATGAAGGGATGTCTATTCCACCAGAGAGCTGCACTTTCAGGATTTCTGTGCTGGAAGAAGAGATTATTTGCCTCAAACATCAGAGAGATACCATGTCAACAGGACTTTGAAAATTGAAAACCAAGAGCCTAATTCTTAGTGGGTTCTTTAATTCTTTTATCATGAAATTTCATCATGGAAAATTTTCAACATATTGCAACACTAAGAGAAATGTAACAGTAAGGATATCCACCATCTAGATCCAACTATCAGCATTTTACTATACTTGGTTATTACCACATGTCTATCCATTTAGTCCATCACTCTATCCTTCCATCAGTCTATCTTATATTTTTGATAGTTCCAACTATAAATCTCTATATACATCTCCTAAATACCTCAGAATGCATATCATTAACAGGGTCCAATGTTTGTTTTCATTTTGCTTTTTTCTTTTGACACAGTTTTCATTCAGTAAAATGCACAAAGTGTATCTTATGTATATACATTTGTCCAAATTTAACGGGTGTTCAAATGTATACACATGACCCACTGCCCCACCAAGGCACAGAGTGTTATCCACACCCCAGAAAGCTCCTGCATATACCTTCCTCATCAACACTACCCCAGAGACCATGGTTATACTGAGTTTTCTTCTACCATAGATTAAATTTTCCTTTCTAGAACTTCATGTAAGTTCATGCAATATGGCTTCTGTGTGTAAGCCTGTCACTCAGCATTATGCTTTTGAAGTTCATCCATTTTGTGGCATGCATCAGTAACTTCCTTTTTTACCACAGCATAGTATTCTACCATGTGACTAGACTGTAGTTTGTTTATCCATTTTCCTATTGATAGTCAAATGGGTGGTTACCAGTTTTGGGATATTATGAATAAAACTTACGGCATTGCTATACAAGTCCTTTTGTGGACATTTATTTTTATTTCTTCTGGGTAAATACCAAGGACAAAATGATGTGGCCTGAAAATGAAGGGATGAAAATACAGTCTTCCCTTGGAGACAGAGAAGCAGAATACACAGTAGTCCACATGAAGACCACAGTCGTGGTGAACGTGACCTATTCAAGACTTCGTTTGAAAAGCACTAGTCAATGTTTAAGTATGAAATGCAGGCGCCATCTTCTGGTCATTATGGAGAAATAAGAATTCAAGGCTTGGTGGGCAACTTCTGGTGACTCCAGCCAGAGCCAAACCTCAGCAGATACCTGGAGCTTGAGCAGGAAAATGTGGGAAAGGCACGCACCTGTGGTCTCCGTGGACAAACAGGTCTGGGTCAGATTCGGGTTGCATGGGTCAGCCTTACCCAAGGCAAGGATCGAATAACCAGGAATACGTACAAAGAAAGGGAATTGTAGAGCCCACTATGAGGAGGAATCACTTTATTTTCTTAACTCCTGGCATCTACCAAGATGAGGGATCAGGGCAGAAGGCTGAGCTGGACATTGCTGACATGCCTGTCAGGCCCCAAATCCCACAGGTTGCAGAGCAGGAGGTTAGAAGCTTCCCTTTGGCTTTGAGGCCCACTGGGAACAAGGCTGGTCCACTCTTCCTGGGTTTCCTTAGGAACAGGGATGGAATGTCTGTTCTGGGCCAGGCACTGTGGTAGGCATTTTCTGTTAACACTCTATAATCTTGGGTGGTATTAAAAACCCCATTTAATCAGTGAGAAAACCACAGCTCAGAGACCTCAGGGAAGTTGTCAAAGACTGCCCCGTTCTCAAGAGACTGCATTAATTTGCTTGGGCCACAGTAGGAAAATGCTGTGGACTGGGAAGCTTAACAACAAAAATGTATTTCCTCCCAGTTCTGGAGGCTGGAAATCCAGGATCAAGCTGTTGGCAGGGCTGGTTTCTTCTGAGGCCTCTGTCCTTGGCTTGCAGATGGCCTCCTCTGGCTGTGTCCTCCTGGGTTCTTTTCTCTGTGCATCCCTTTGTGTGTCCAAATTCCTTGTCTTATAAGACATCAGTCACCCTGGATTAGGGCTGCACCTATGACCTCATTTAACCTTAATTACCTCTCTAAAGGCCCTAATTCATTCTATAATCACATTCTAATGTACTGGGGGTTAGGGTTTCAACATAGGAATTTTCAGTGCACACAATTCAGTCCATAACAGGGACCATGTCAGGAGTCAATCTCAGGCCTCTGATTTCAGTCCATGTCCCTTTCTATGGTCCAGGGGCTGCTCTGTTCTCAGGCTTAGGCAAAACTTGCTTTCATTTGATTGCAATGAAATCACCATAGAAATTCAGTGAGAATGGCTGTATTTTTCATTGCTTCCTTTTATTGTGATGAACCAAAGTGAACAAAATCTCAGGTCCGAAGTTCACCTAAGAGTTAGGGAAGCAGGGATGGTGTGGGTTAATTTTTTTGCTGTGAGAACCACTTCTACATTTGTAGGAAAACTAACCTCGTCTTCTTCTTCTTGGTCAAGCTGACAGCTAGTGCCTGGGCCCTGTTTGATGGCACCACCATGTGCCTTGGTGTAGGACAGACCTTCTGGGAAAAGCTTTTGTGACAACTACTTCTTTCCTATGCTTGTTTAGTAGCCCAGAGAAAATGAGAGCCACATGTCTCACTGGTATTTGGGAACAAACTCTTAACAAAAGCTGAATTTCTTTCTTTAGCTGACAAGGAGTCCCAGGACCGCATGATGCATTCGTGTAATATTCTTGTGATCAGCAGGGTCAAGATGCCCAAGTATTTTTCTAATCTCATGGAAATGTGCTTGCTACCAGTGGGTGAAGGCTCGGGCTGCTAGGGCGCCTTGGCCTTGGGGGTGTGCCTTCATTGCCACCAAGTGGAAAAGCCTTGTGCTTCATTTGTAGCCACATTAACATTCTAGGAATTTGCAAGTATGAAAAGCACTGTGACATTGTGGGTTCACAGTTGTAACCATCAAGATCTGACCAGATTCAGGTACTAGTATGATAATTACTGGCCAGTGGAGCAGAAAGGACACAGGGCACACTGTAATATGCTATATCCAAGTCTATGAATACTGAGAAGGGCAATAATACAACAATCAGGAATTCAGAGTTGGGGCATATTATTGACTCTTACCACCTATGTGGGCTGGGCCACCTAACCTTATTAAGTCCCGTCTGAAATGGGGATGATAATGTGCTCTAGAACAATTGCCCTCCTAGAGGCTGGCTTAATTTAAGAATCAATTGAAATAATTTGCAAGAGGGTACTTGCTATTCAGAATACAGGTATAACTCATCCTTATTTTTAAGAACTTACTCTCCCTTATTAGTATAGCTCTCTGCACAGACTTAATTATAGTGATTTTTACATTGCTTTTTAGAAATGAACATGTTCGTTTTTACTGATAGACTGTAGTTCATCTTGTATCTTTGAACTTAGCTCCTCCCAGGTACTTAATCTTTGTGTATGAACAAGTAAATAAATGAATGAATAAGTAATATGCAAATTTATCAAAGGTCTGAAGAAGATGGTGTGGATACATGAACATATATTATTAGAAAAAGAAACTTTGTGATTCTGACTTTCAGAGATACATCTTTGGTTTGTGAGATTCTCTTTTCTAAGTTCAGCACAAGAAATTCCGTCAAGACTTAATCAAGACACACAGAAAGGGTTTCTGGTTTCACTCATGGCCAACATAATCAGTAGCTCTCACCAACAAAGAAAAGTTCAGGCACTCCTTGCTAACCAAACTCCTGCCAGGTAAACTGTCATCTGAAGTCATGCTTTCTAAACTCAGAACCAAATAGATGGGGACAGTTTGGGATGAATTTTTCACTGTCTGAACTCTGGCACCTCCTGGAACTCAGGAACCCAAACATACGAACTTCCTCAGCTTGGATTTCCAGGGATGTCATACTGTCCAAATGTATTTGCAGTGTTCCCTTATACACAGGCATATGTATATGTATACAGATATATGTACATAGGCATACACAGATACGTATACATGTATACAAGCAACCTTTTTCTTGACAACACATATCATTTATTGGTGTCCAGGGTAAAGATCATCATCTAATACAAAATTTCTGGAGCTTCTTTTGCCTAATTGTATAATCAGGATCAATTCTGCTCTGAGGAAGTATTTGACGGTACGGCCTGCTGGGTGGCATCCAAGCTGCTTCATAGGATTCACTGTACCTGCTGGAGGGAGAGGGACACCCCAAGTCCCCAGAGGGCCATCTTTGAAGCACTACCACCCTGCACAGCAGTCTTGTTTAATGCTCCTGAAATGAGTGAAGACTTGGGCAGCTGTGAGGGTGGGGCACAGACATGATGTACCCACGTGCTGGCAGTGAGCAGACTGGCATTGGCCTGAGGTGCTTGGCCTTAGTATCACACAGTTCAGAGAGTATTCATGGTATAATATGCACATTTTAACAAAGTATTTCAAGACCCTTTGGCCATGGTTACTGTAAGTCACCTCAAATGCACAGTCTTTGCAAATACAAGGTTTTTTGTTTTGCTGTTATTTTAAATCTTCAAGCTATATGGTTTTACTGCTGTTTATTCAGAAGAGAATCATGATAATTTCTCTAAAACTTTACTTGTGGGATGGAAGCAAATTCTTACCTATGAACCAGAGTGTTCTTGAGGCCACCAACCAGGCCCCGGGCGATGGTATTCACCCTGGGGGTAAGAATCGCTTGGGAGACGTGGAAGGAGCCGCGCGGGGCCCGCTCACTCAGCGTGGTTTCCAAGAAGAGGATTAGTTTGCGCACACTTGTAGTGTTTGCCCAGGGCGCTGGGATCTTCTTTCCAGGCCACAGGAACGGGTATTGCTTGTAGAAGGGACAGTGATAGAAAATAAGAACCTGAAATGTTCAAATCAGAAAAAGGAAAGCAATTCAAGAACAAGCTGAATGTTAACTCTTCGGCTTTACACTGTTGGCAAGGAGGAAAGCAAATATAAACATGTTGAAATTCAAGAATTGTTACATATATATATTTTTTTAAGAAAAATCATTAAAGCAAAGATGGAAGCACTTAACTATGTCTGACTTGAAGGTTCTAACCTTTATTTTTGTCATGAACACCTTTGCAAGAATGGCAAAATCCTGAACCCCTTCTCAGATTATGTTTTCAATGAATGCATAAAATAGACAGGATTGCAAAGTCAATCAAAGAGGTGGAAATATAGCTATCAATATATTGATTAAATTTACAGTAAATTCATGTATGAGTTTCATCATATATTAAATAAAAATATTTTGTTTTAAGTCTAATAAGTTCCATAATTTTGAGTTAATGATGAGTATAAAATTTCAAGTTATCTGTAACCATTCAAGTGTGATTTGGAAATGTCTGTGATTTCTATGGGTACAAATTCAGAGGGCTATACTGCTGTGGGTGACTGCCTGCGCTCATAATCAAGGGCATATCCATTTGCAGGTAAAGGCTAGAGAGAATAAACATGTTTTTTTCCCTATCCAAAACCACAGATTTCTTAAATGTACCCATGCCACTTCCCCTTGGAAATCTTTGGACCCCAGGTGGAGAGCCCCCTGCGCAGCTAGTACTGTCTATAACTTATGGGTCTTGTGTTCAAGAAATAGCCACTCTTGGCATTGAGATCAACACATTGAACTGATTTGGGAGTACCTGGATTTTCACTTGCGCTTGCTGATTCTGACCTCAATAACCCTGCCCAGGAGAGGAAGGGAGGGCACTACTCAAGACAGGGAAGATTTCTGAGGGAACTCTTAGGTTAGTGGTGGTTTTGATAATAATTAGCAAGCCACATCCACAGCATTAATTAGTTTCTGAGAGGCAGCTAAGGGACAGGGAATTACTATTTTGATTGTCCCAATTCCGAGTTCCACTGTTTATGTGTCTAGAAGTAATGTATTTTCCCTGCTCCGAGCTCCAGCCATCTCTTCCTGGGGGAATGTCTAGCGTGTGTGTTTACACTCCCTGAACTGCAGTCCTTGGATAGCTGGCCCAGAGCATAATCCTCCAGGCACCCAGAAAGGAGCGCTCTGAATGTGTGTCTAGTTTCCAGGGTGTGTTTAGCTCATGACTAAGGGCTCCTGCAGGCCTCCAGTGAGGGAGCGCCGGGCTCGATGCACTGAACAGGCTAATGACTATTCTTGTTGTTTGTAATGGTTTTGAGTAATGTCTGACTGACTGCTAATGATGTCTGTGGTAAACACGTGTGTTAATGAGGTTAATCATAGGCTCACAGTAAGCAGATTGCCTGGGAGACTGGGGAGGATTTTCTGCTGGCGGTGTAATTGACTAGTTTGGAAAGCTGGGGTCTCCAGCAGTTTTAAGTGAGGAAAGCTGGCTTGGGAAATAGACTGGGGGAGAGGAGGGAGGCAGCGTGAACCTTTGACAAAGCTGTCAGACCATTTTCCATGCTGCCTGGCCCCTGAGCGGTGTCAGAGGACAGTGATGTTCTTTACTCTGTCTTGGAAAAGGTGCAACAAGTACAAATTATGTAAGGGGACTTTTCACCTTTCCTCAAGAGCCTCCATGAGCAATCTGATCCCAAAGGTTATAGGAAGAATATTTCTGTTTACAGTAGGAGTTTGGCATAGCAAACCAACTCTTAGTCCACAGAATTCTGGGAGGGCAAGTCTTGCCCCAGGTCTGTGTTTTGCTTCTGTCTATCTCTCTGTGCTGTATTTTTCTCTGAAATACTTTTCCTTCCAGCTCAGCAATTTATGTTCAGTTTTTCTCCTGAGATTCAGATTTAAAATCTTATTTCCTTTGAGAATTAGTCCTTGGTTGATTTCCTCTTATTCAACCAGTCCTTTACTGGAGGCCCCTGTGTGTAGATTATACTGTGAACTCTTCTTCAATTGATTCATTACAAACCTCTTTTCTCATATAGTAAATTTGAAGCAGTTTTATCTTGCAATTGCACATCAGTTGTTTTGTATTTTCCTAGTGTTTTATATTCTCACCTTCTCATTAACACTCTACATGCTGTCAAGCTGCAGATTAACTTTTGTAATTCACTGTACCTTCAAAACCCATAGCCACTACTGTACAAATATATACCTGGGTGCTGCATGTAATTGTACATTGAGTAAATGAAATTTGACTGAATGGTAATACATTTCTTGCCATTAAATTGTGGTAATAAAATACTCAGGGGGTTACATGCAAGGCAGCTCATTACATAATGAATATTTAAAGTTTAATGGCTAGTAGGCTCTGTTCCAGCAGCAGCAGGGAGGTGACTGATGACTCTCCATGGTCTCTTTGTTTAGTGTTTAAGAAAAGACATGGCAGGGAGAAAGAGCTTTGGGAAAAGAAGGAGAAAAAGGAGATCCTAGAATTCAAACTGATGACACTCTCCCTTTTTCTGGTTTGTCATCAGAGTCTCTTTCCTTGATAATTTAGGAGTATTTGTAGTGGTATGACACAGATTAGTCCATACTTAAAAACTATGAGAGATCATTCCTCTGCTGCTAGAAATTCACTGTCCCCACTACTCATTAGTCCTGAAGATGCCTGTTACTCCTGCAGGTTTCTAAACGATTTAGTATGCAATATGGCAACCCATCCAAAATATAGTATGTGTACAAAATTATAGAACTATATTTACAACAGAGAGGTGTTTATAAACTTAAGTGTACTTAAGTTTAACCTTACCTGAATTCCAATATTCAAAAGCCTTATTACAGTTCTTTTCTCCTATTCTGCTCACCCTCGGAGACCCACTGATAATAGGGGCTCATGAGTAAAAAACAAGTGTTTTTATTCGCTAAATTGATGACACTGGTTGTGAAAATCACCAAGAAGTGTGAACAGCCCTGGGAGAGCATCAGAAGCTGTGGAGACTCGAGAGACCAACAGCCTGTGATTGAATGCCGGGCCTTACCACCCACCAACAGTGTTCTCTTGGGCAAGTTGCTTGATCTTCCCATGCCTCACTTTACTCATCTGTAAAATGAGAATAAATAACAAAATACCTATCTCATAGTGTGGTTGAGAGGATGAAGTATGTTAATCCATGTGCTGATACCATGTAAGGCTCAATAAATGTTGGTTGTCATTGTTATTACTGTAATTGAATATTATAAGAGAGATTCCACTGGGGGGAAAAAAAAATCTCTCCACATTAGACTGTGAGTCTCAACAAATATAAGTTCAGCTTTACGGGGAGAGGTGTGATAAATATTTGGCAAAATATCACTTACAAAGTTTTTGTGAGGGAGTGGCTTAGATACATTTTAATGGATATGAAGATGTAACTCAGCCTCTGTGAAGTCAAGGACATTGAGTGCTTTTGTGGATGGGTGTGTCATCCGAGTTTACCTCTCTGACCTCCTCCTGCTGCTCTGCTTTCCAGCCCCACGGCCCCCTGCTCTGCCTCAAAGATGTCAGGCACACTCCTTCCTTGGGGCCCTATGTTGGCTGGTTCGTCTGCTGGGAAAACTCTTCTCCCAGTGACCACTGATGATTAACTCTCTCAAATGTCTACCCTGGTCAACCCGTTGAAAACTGTAACCCGCCCTTGCCAGCCTTGACTTTTCTTCTATCACTCTTATCCCTTCCTGGCATCATATATAATGTATTTATTATCTTGATTTCCTGTGATCTCTCTCCCTCTATTTGAATGAAAGCTCCATTAGGGCAAGGATCTTTATTTGCTGATTTGTCCCAAGTGCTTAGAAGGGGTCTTGGCACATACTTGGTATCCAATAAATCCTTGCAAGTGAATAATCTTTAATTGATTTTAATTGAAACCCCTTCCTTAAGTTGGAAAAGAACTCTTTAATATGCCTCGGTTACCACATCTGTAAGTGAGCCACTGTGAATGAAGAGTACTTGCTACTTTTTTCTTTTAGTAGAGAGTCTAAATTGGACTCCGATCTTTTTTGAAGTTCTCCTCTCCCACTACCTATCATTCTTTGGGATCAGAGCAGAATACAGTTGACTGTTGAACAGCATGGCTATTAACCCCACGGATCCACTATATGTGAATTTTTTTCAATAAGTATACTGGAAAATGGTTGGGGGGGGGTTGTGGCAATTTGAAAAACACTTTTTCTCTAGCTTACTCTAGTGTAAGAATACAGTACATAAACAAAGTATGTGTTAATCAACTGTTTATGTTATCAGTAAGGCTTTTGGTCAATAGCTATTAATAGTTAAGTTTTTTGGGATTCATAGACTTTTGACAGCATGGGGGTCAGAGCCCCTAACTCCCACATTATTCAAGGGTCAACTGTACCTCTGAGGTTCACATTCCTTTTCTTGCCCGTCATGAGCCTGGGACTAGAAGCTCTTCTCAGTTTGAGCAACCTGGGGCGTGCTCTTCCAGCCCGGGACCTGTAGGGTGCTTCCTTCCTGATCTCTCTCTCCCTCTATGACCCAAATTCTGTGAAGAAGGCCTTTGAAAATGTTAACACCTCTGCAATGAATCACTTACATGCTTTTGTCAGCTAATCCTTTTAGTTATCAATCGGTATCTTGGTGCGGGCACAAATATGTGAAGGGGATAACAGGTACAAGCTTCTAGTTATAAAATAAGTCGCAGGATGAAAGTACAGCATAAGGGAATATAGTCAATAATATTGTTATAATTTTGTATCATGAAACAGCTGGTAACTATACGTACCATGTGAGCATTTCATAATGGAGCTAATTGTTGAATTACTATGCTGTACACCTGAAACTAATATAACACTGTGTGTCAACTACATTTCAAAAAAAAAAAAATTGGCAGGGATTACCTGACATTGAGTAGAAGGCAGGATGGAACAGCCTATCTCTGCGGGGCATTAGGAGAGTATAAACAGATTCTCTGGGAGATTAAAAAATGATAATGGCCAACTGGTCCAATTTCAAAGCTTTACCTTGGGCTGGTTCTGGCCAGGCCATTCAAAGTCAGCTGGGATGCTTCGAACAGTTTGCCTGACAAACTGTACATATTTGGCAGGCATTAATCCCAGTTCACTGGTGCCCAGGGGAGCCTCTTGAGCTATCCTGGAGCCCAGGAACTAGGGTTCCAGTGTTCAATATTCCAAATAATCTAGGCCTTCCATAACCTCAGAGCTCTGGAGTGAGCTGCCTCACAGCGGTGATATGGAAAAGGTGGAAAGAGCTATGCTCCTACCCTCAGAAGCTCGTCTCCCTTCCCTCCTACCTGGCCCTTCTTCTCCCACAGGTGTTGTAGTGTCATGCTCTCCACACTGCAGGCCGAGCACAGCTTGTTTCCAAAGGCCTCCTGGATCTGGACAATCAGGCGGTTGTGATGAGCCTCATCCATAGCGTAGAAGTGGTTGAAATCCAGGAAGATGATCTCTTGGGGGTGCTGGGTAAGAAATGAGTCAATCTCCATCAGCCCATCCCAGACCTTAATGCCAAAAAGTCCATGAATAAAGTAGATTTCCTGGTCAGCATCCCCAGGTTTGGAAGACACACGCAGGTCAAAGTAGCGGATCCCAGCTTCCAGCTGTTCTCGGAACGTCAGGTTCTGAGTCACAGACCATTTCTTCATCAGCTTCTTCACCAAGGAGATCCTGGCAAGGCGTTTGATAGCTGGGGTTTGGTCAGGCCCTACTGGGGACTTTTCATCTACCCAGTAGCTGAATGAATCGTGGGAGCCTATGCAAAGCAATAAAGGCGAGGAAAGCATTTGAGACCAGAGCTGGGAGGATTAAGCCAACTGTTAAGAAGACAAAACAACAAAGCCACAAATACACACCAAAGATGTAAAGGCATACTTGCAAAATTTTCAAGCTTGCTAGGAATGAGGTAAGCACAAATAAAAGTCATGCAGTCTTATTAAAGTTTGTTAAGCCTGGGGTAAAACTATAATTCTCATATATTGCTAGTGTAAGGTAAATTAATAGACACCCTATTGGAAAGCTATTTAGAAATATGTTTGGAAAGAGGAGCTTTAAAATACTCATACCATTTGATCTAGTAATTTCATTTCAGGAAAGCTATTCTGAGGAAATAAACTAATGTTTGAAAAAAACAAAGATGTTTGCTGAAGAATATTTGCAATAGAGACAAACTGGAGGTTTCTTAGGTGTCTTTCATAGAAGAATCCTTGACATTGGCATATCCACTTCATTCATGCAGCCATTGGAACAAAGGATATGGGAACCCCGTGTCTACTGCAATAAGGCATTTAAATTGTAGAAAAGGCAGAATTTTAAAAAATGTTATATACATGATTTTTTCATGCTATTGTATGTATATGCTATTTTACTGCTGTAAACATCTGAGTCAGTAGGAATGGTTTCTTGACAGATCAAACATTTTTAAGAGCTCAACACAGGTTAGTTTTATGGCCCTCTTTTTGAATTCGGATCTTAATGAGCTGAATCTGCTATTAATCAAATACATATTCCATTCCTCTGTCTTAAAGGAGAGAAAGTAGATATTTTCCTAGACACTGAGATAATCTTGTTATAAAATGCATATGGCCACAATAGCATTTCTAACTACAGTGAGAAAATATGAAGTGAGAAAATATTTCACTTAAGGTGAAAATTATCTTTAACCAATACCTTTCATTTTTTTATTCGTTTCTATCTAGTGACAGCTGTTATGAGTCAGTTAACTCTATGACTTGCTCTGACACTGGGGACTCTGCATGGGTGGCTGTGCTTTGTGAGCAAAATCTGGGAGGAGAAGCTGTGACCTGATGCTACTTTGTTCTTAACCACTATGACCCGTATGAGAATCAGAACTTCTAATTCACACAAGTTGTTACCAGTTATCCTTCTGGCTACATTTTAGAGAACACATTTCATTTCTAACATAAATTTTTGAGACTCTACTGTTTTATGTTTTATTATTCCTATTTTCTTGAAAATAAATCTAAATCTGGAATGGCTTTACTATTTTACTTTCTCAGAAATCAAGTGAACAAAAAAGGAGATAAGTGTTCTTTGTTTTTATGTAATCCCTAGAACATGGAAGATATTCCATAACTATTAAGAAAAAGCCTATTTATTAATCCTTAGGCAAAGTTACTTTTGCAAAAATGAAAATTACTAGCATATTTCAGGTTAAAAAAAAAGAAACTGCCATTACTAATAGAAATGTGGAGCAAGTCCCTCCTGATTTCCCATATTGGTTGTCTCTGTTAATGAGACTCACTGGGTACTTCCCTAATGCTCTGCTTTCTTTGGTTATAGAGAAAAAGAAAATCTTTATACCTCCTCATTAAGAGATTTTTTTATGAATACATTATATACAGATGTTGAACAGCTAGTTATCACTTCTTCTTAAATTATGTTAGCAGCCCAGCTGTTCAGATTTGAATGTGTAATATAGTGCGAGGCAAGCATTGAATTTAATTCTTCCCTGGGTATCAGGGAACAGCCATTATCCAGTCAGAGAGGAGAGACAAATCCCCTCTGGTATTCTCTTGTTGGTGCTGAGCCCAGTTTTATTTCCAGAGGGAGATGTGCTAACAACCTCCAGCGCTTTTCTCCATGTCTGAGGATTGTGCAGCAATGACAGCGATGGGGCCCCAGAGACCATTTCTGAATGCACAGGGACACACATGTTCCCCAGCCTACCCCACAGATTAGGGAGGGCATGCACAGTCCCTGGGAACACAGTCTCTCTTTGCTCTCTTTTCCATTTCCTCTTTTCCTTTCTAACATCCTGTGCCCAGCACTGCCTCCTACCCCTCTAGATCGGAAAGGACAGGACAGTGGAGCAGATTGTTTCCTGAATGTTTTAGGGCAGTTGTCCTACCTAGCTAGGCCCATGGCCATGAAAGCCAGCCATCACTCATTAACCATTATCAATATTTTGCCTTTCTACTTATTTTTTTTCCAGAAGCCTTTGCCTCATATAGAGTGAGTAAAGAAACATTCAAGTACTTATGTGCATTTAACTATTTCTTTTTTAAAGAACAGGATAAAAATGCCCTCCCTTCTCCTGCACATAGTATACTTACAAGTTATGCAATCTGCAAATAGTATTTATAAAAAGAAAATCCTAAAATTTAACACCCCAAGTTCATTATCGAAGTTTCCCCTTCCCCCTGCACTGATGGAAGTTGTTTTACTCTTTAAAGATTTTGTCCACAGTGAGGGCTACCTCTCCCCCTCTCCCTGGGATATATAGATTAAATTCATGCATTCTCCCAGAAGACAGGAAAAACCCGTGCTTCATTGGTCCTTGCCTTAGTTTCTAAGAGAATTGCAGTGTGGGAGTTGTTAGGGATAGTGACTCCATGAGTTCTGCTTTGTCTTATGAATAAGAGAGAAAACAGTTTAGGACCTCATCCTGCTGTGATTTCTGCCTTGGGAAGTGTTTTTTGCTGCTACTACTTGGCAGTACCTACGGGTCTTCACTCATCCCTGCCTACGGCTCCTTTATGTCTAAAATGCATTTAAGTGGTACCCTTTATCTTAAAATAAAGCAAAGCTCCTTCTCTTACATGTCTTACCCCTTCAAGCGACTGTCTTTTCTTTCTTCCTTGCTGTCAAATTCTTGAACACATGGGCCAGTCCTGCTGTCTTTGGCTCCTGTGCTCTATGCCGTTTTCCCATCTGAGGACACCTCCCACCCTTCTGTTGCTACTCTTCTTCCTTATAACCTTCGAGTCAACAACTACAAATGGCTTAATTCTTCTCAGCTTCTCAGAAGGTTTGTTAAGTCAGATTTTTTTCGGGAACCTTCCATCCCCATGTGTCCCATGTTGCATACTTCTAGATGTTACTCGCCTTCTGTTACCAGTCTCCTTCTGTCTCCTTTGCTGGCTACTTTTCCTCCTTTGTGTTCTAAAATTTAAATGTTTTCCAAGGATCTGTTCTCTGTATGTTTCCTTTTCCCACCTTCGGAGATTGCATCCACTCTCCAAGCTCCCAACAGCACCACCATGCAGACAGCACCAAAAGCTTCATTTCTAGCCCAGACTCTTCTTAGTTCCAAATTTATGTTTTCAATTTCCTGCTCTGGGCTTCCACCTGATGGCCTGCTCATACAACAGATGACATATTTTCCAAGTCTGGTACTGATGTGTCCCTCTCATCCCCACAAAGTGCCTGTCCTGAATTTCTGCCAATAGTGTCCTCAGTCATAGGGACCTGAAACCTTGGACTCCAGTTAGATGCTTCCCGCTCCCTCACTCTCTTCAGCATTACCAAAACTTTGCATCTGACTTTTGCAACATATATCAAACCTGTCCCTTCCTTTAACCATCAACTGCCACCCCCCTTGGTTCATACACTCATTACCTGTCACATAATCAAGACCAAAAGGACCCTAACTGGTGTCCTTTGACTCCAATCTCTCCCGTTTGTTCATATGCAAAAGTTAATCATCTCAAGATAGAGTGCTAATTGTGTCATTTTCCTTGTCCCTCCTTCCTTCCAAATCAGGTTCAAACTCTGAACACTGGTGTTTAGGAGCCTCTTCAACATGGTCCCAGTGCATTAGTTTTGACTCATCTTTCACCAGGCCTCTACATGTGCCCACCATCTGCTGGTGTGCAATATACATTGATAGGCAAGCCTTTTCTTGGATCGCAGCACTTGTTTTGCAGATAATTTCTGTAAAATGTTTTCTCACCACAGCATCTTCTCTCCTGCATTTATAACCCATGTTGGGGGCAAGTTGCTTACTCTATGTCTCTGTTTCCTCATTTGTAGTTTGGGCACAATAGCACCTGTTGTCACAAAAATTGTGTGAGTATTGGAATGTGTGCAAGGTTCTTGGAACAATGCTGACACATAGTTAAGTGCTAAACTCTTATTATTATTCCATCCCCTGCTGGTTAAAAACTAGAGGGAGGAAGGCTAATTCTCTGAAATTCTTCATCTTAAATACTTAGAGTGTGGAACATTCTTTTTTCTGCACTTGAAGTCCTGTTCTTCATCTACTGGGTGACCTGGAGATGATAAGTTAGGCTTTGTTGACAGTAGGTGTCATTCACTCTCTTGGTCACAGCCTAAGCTTTGTCATCACCCACTTCTAAAATCTTAAAATTCAATATCCTGCTTTCTGACCACAACTTATTTCTTCTGACTTCTGACTTAACTTCATTTCTTCCCCACCTGAGAGCCCAGAGTTGACTCTACTTCATCCTTTGGTTATACCCAAAGCTGTTAGTTGGCACTTTCCCCTGTGGAATTATTAATTGTAGCTATCCAAAAGCTGTTAGGATCACTGCCAAGACTCATTCTTAGTCTATACATGCAAATCCCAAAAAGCACATGGAAAAATTAACATGCTGTTTTCTGGGTTTTTTTAATTTGAAGTATCATTGATATGCAATGTTAAATTGGTTTCATATGCACAACACAGTGGTTCAACAGTTATCCATATTATTAAATCCTCATTCCCACTATTGCGATTGCTATATGTCAACATAGGAAGATGTTACAGAATCACTGGCTATCTTCTCCATGCTGTACTACCATCCGATGATATTATGATTGAAAATTTTTGTACTCCTTTATCCCCATCACCCTCCCTGCTCACCCTCTCCACCCCAACTTCTACCCCATGGCAACCACCAGTTACTTCTAAGTGTCTATAAGTCTACTGCTGTTTTGTTCATTTTGTTTTGCTTTGTTTTTATATTCCACAAATAAGTGAAATCATATTGTATTTATCTTCCTCTGCCTGGC